ACAATAAATTCTAGAGATTCTCAGTATTCCTCAGTTTAACGCAGTTTGGGAAAGAGTTATAATATTACAACTTTATAATTGCACAACTTTAATGATATATAAAACACAAACAACCCTTCTCCAAAAAAAAAAACTCTTAATCTGGTTCTAAGCAAATAACACACCATGATATAGACTAAACTTACCTTTTTCACTATGAAAGCAAAATGTTATGATGCACTTTGCATCTCGTCTGACAAGCTGAAATATAAACTTGATGTGTGAGTGTGCCTCTTGGGCTGAAAGAAAAGCAAGATCTACCCCAAACAACAAAACCCTGTTTTGATCTTCAACTTATTTGCAACATTAACGATATGTAACTTGAATGAAAGCTTGTTTTCTATTTTTATTCCACAGTATTTCTATGTCTCAGCATCAACTGGCATCCAGTCATTCTTTAAATGAAAGGAAGAACTTATGGACATTTTTTTGCTACCAAACAGCTGGACTTTCAACTTATCATAAACAAAAAGACCTATTGTATTATGTACTGAAAAAAACTATTTTAACTACAGCTAATGCCGAGAACAGGTCTGCATTTGTTTTCTTTTATTTTATGAAAAGGTAGAAAAATAATTGTTCTAAAATTCAGCTAATTTTGTTTAAGAGGAAACCATATGTATTTTTAGCATAATTAGAACAACACAAAGTCATCAAATCCTACAGAAGGGTGTAACAAAAAAGGATTATGTGAAGCAATTGGGTTGAGCTGGATTTGTTAGTCATATTTGAGAATGAAAACTGAGGAAGTCGACCCAAATACAACAGGATGAAGGAAAGCATGAGTTGGAGCTACTGAGAGTAAACCATAAAAACCAGAACAGTAGAACAGTAAACCAATAGAAACCAGACAACTTAAATAATGTGGAGGTATAATTGGTGACATGGGAACCAGATGAGCAAAACCAAAGCAACTGAGAGCCGCAGTACAAAGGCAAAGGAGCTGAGGAGAAAGAGTTTGTTAACACACAAGGGTAAAACTATTAACATTGAAAATAAAAACTCCAGAGAGTATAAATAAGATTGTTACACAGACACAGCAAACAATAACTATGATTAAGATAAAAAACATTGACATCAAATATCAAGAAACAAAACAAAGTAGTTCCCAGATTCAATTCAGTTTATTGATATACAACTGAAGGACAACAAATATCCTAACAAGGCAAAACATAATCCCAAAGTAACCCACTTCATAGAGAAACTTGAAATCATAAACATGTCTTCTTAGTATTTCATTTGGTCAAATGTTATCTAAGGAAACAGAACAATAACAATCATTACCTATTAATTATTTTTGATTGAAAAAAAGAGACATAGGAAAAAAGACTTTAAGTGTTTTATTCTATCTTCAGTGAAAGAGATGAGCCCCAAATGTAAATTAGGTTTGCTTTCAAAAAAGGGGAAATAATAACTGAAATAATTGTGTTCTTATAACTAAGCATTACTTATATTTCACTTGATGTGAAATGACTCCTTGAAGCTTTTCTTTGCCTGTTCTTTTGTGATTTTTTCCAATAATCAGAAATGTCAGCAGGTCCTGAATCACATTCTTTGCAAATTCTTGTTGTATTTGGCCATCACATATTTCCAATAATCTGATGCCTTCAGATTCACGTCTGGACGAATTTCCCAATCTGAGAATATTTCTTATTTTCTTTTTAAGGATGGGATTCATCATTTATGGCACTACTGCAAAAACTAGAATCTCTGATAACAAGAGAAGAGCAGAAGTCTGTTGAGAGTTTATTTTAGTGTAAAGAAAGTAACAGACCTAAACCTTCTGGTCGATGCAGGGAGGCAAAATGTACAGAATGGACACTGTTGGCCACATCCAATCACTCTGGTGAAAATCTCATTCTCTGGTTTCATACGGAGGACTGAGAGTTTTGTCAAAACTTGTGGATCTAAACTTGACTCTAAGAGCTTCTGTCATTTCCTCGAGAGACACAGTGAGAAACTGAGCAAACAGTTCCTGGTCAGCATCGTTCAGAATCAAGAAGGCATCAAGAGCATCTTGGGAAATCACCAGTTTATCACCCAGTTCTTTTCAGATATTTGCAACAAATGACCCGAAAGTGGAAGTTTTTGTTGTTTTTGCTTTTTAATGGCAGTATCTATGTCAGACATGTCCAAAGTCCGGCCCGGGGGCCAAATGCGGCCCGTGGTCAATTTTCATCCGGCCCGCAGCCTCCGTCATAGAATCAATAACGCCTGGCCCGCGTATAATACATTGGGCAGCAGCGCTGTTACTTGCGTGTTCTAAGTGCTGACATCTAGAGGCTCAAATAGGAACAGCAAATTAATATGTGAGTCCCCCCAATTTTCTAAAATGGCGGCAATTAGCAAAAGTTGACTGCGAGGGCCGACGGTTCAAGGATGGGTGGAAATTGGACTATTTCTTCATTGAAATACATAACAACTGTGTTTGCCTCATTTGTAAAGAGACAGTGGCTGTTTTGAAGCGACATTATCAAACTAAACATGCTGAGGCATATGACAAGATCACAGGTAATGAACGCAGCGAGAAACTGAAACACCTTGAAGCTAGCTTAATCTCACAGCAGCAATATTTTACAAAAGCTCGAGAGTCAAACGAGAATGCTACAAAGGCTAGTTACGAGGTAGCAGCGCTGATCGCAAAGCATTGCAAACCTTTCACCGTTTCACTAGTGCGCAGCATCCTGTCCCCGGGTCCCCAAGTGAGAGAGAGGTGTGCTAATCAACATTTATAGTTACTGTCATATTTTAAATGAGCCCTGCACTTGTTGATATGACAATTTCTCTGTTATTGTGTTTAAAAATTCTGTAAATATTAAACTCCCATTTTGAGATTTTTTTTAATGTTTCAAATGTAATTTGCACCCAAGAGTACATTTACTTCTCTTCAACTATTACAAAAAAGTTAGTGTTAAAAAAGTGAAGTTAAATGAATATTTAATTTCAATTTTCAATGTCAATTGAATTTTGATATGTATGTTTCAAATGAACCAAAACATATGCTTAAGATGGCTGAAATTAAAATAAAAAAGCAAATGTGAAACACACAACAGCTCGCTGAAATGTATTTAAATTAATTGCTGTTATATGTAAAGAACGTCCGCCAAGGTTGGCCCCCCTATATTTTAACACACCAAATCTGGCCCCCTTTGCAAAAAGTTTGGATACCCCTGATCTATGTGGTCGATGCAGAACTTAAGATGTTGGTCCTCAAACTCAAACTCCACAGTCAGAGGAAAAATTCTCCCTAATTCTATCAGATATTCATAATTTTACATATTCTTGAGCAAGACTGCCTTCTGTCTGTCCAGGGTGACCGCAGGGTGACCCCGCCTCTCGCCCAAAACGTTCGCTTTAGATCTGCACCAGCATCCATCCTGACACCACCGGGTACCAGGCTGTTAGAAAATGGATGGATGATTTACTCTAGTAAAATACTTCATAGAAATACAAAGAAATATTAAAGACTTGAGATTAACCAAAACTGATAAACATTGAAATAGAGTTATCAAAGGTAATATTTCTATCACTTTAGAAGTTACTGTATTAAGTGTTAAGGTCCATACTCTGAGTTGTTTCTTTCCATTCTCTGCCACCAGATTAAATAGTTTACAAATTAATTTCCTCTGCTGCTCGTCTGTTTATTTGAAGCTTCAGGGTTACGGTCTCTGACCTCTAGGGTCTCTCTCTCTCTTTCGCTCTGTGTGTGTTTCAGTTCTTCCTGGCTGCAACAGGTGAAATGTATGAAAGCTCCTTGATCTGCAATGATCTTGTTTGTCTGCTGACTGTTTGTGGGGATTTAGGTGATTTTGCTGCAGCTTTATTGGGACAAATTAAGGGTCTTAACTAAAGTAATGTGTTTCTATTCACAGTGGAAGCTGCCATTTTTATTTTTTGTTTTTCCTGTTTTGTGGTCAGACAGGGAGTTCAGGTGTTGAACCTTTTTCAGCTCTCCTATTGAAAGTGTTTATTTCTAGTTAAAGGTGATGTTTAGTTTATGTTTTAGCTTTGGAGACCCTGAAGCTTAAAGCTTCTCAGTGTTTCCTGCCTTCTGTGATTGAGGTTTTAACTGAACTGTAAAATAAAATACATCTTTTTCTGCCTACATCAACTGTTTACTGATTTTGTGTTGCACCCAGTGCCAGAATTTATCCTTAATTGTCTTGAGGAGGGATGAAACTCTTCCTTAAGGATTCATGGACTCATGATTAAAGAGTTGTTGTTGTTGATCCAACACAGCCAGAGATCAGGTTGGGCTGTTAGTGTGCAGCTTATTATTGTCTTTAATGTACAACAGACACATTGTTTTAACTAAAGTAGCAAGATAATATCAGACTGATGAAACTGTTATTTGGCACCTGATTTAAATACAAGATCATTTTTAAATAGCAAATATTATCATTAAGTTCTTTATAGTAAATTCTGGTAACATTTTAACAAAGAGGTCTGTAGATCCACAACAATATATTTTATTAAGCATGTCATAAACAAGATGTCCTATTTCTTTATTTGTAGAATATAATTTATTTTAACAAACAATTAGCAGCTTTTTATTTGTTTACAGAAGAATAGAGAATCAGCTGCTATGACATTTAGTTGGAAATAAAAACATTTAATATAATTATCACAACAACACATCAAGTCAACACAGAACTAAAGATCTGACAAAAAACAAGTCATTTAAAAACTTTGAATTGAGTTGAACTGAATGTTTCTGTTACATTTGATGATAAATGCTGAGGATAAAAACCTAAATACATTTGAATGAAGTCTGAGAAAAACTCAGAATAAAACCCAGAACTAAATGTTTGTAAACCCTAAATCCTTATGAATGTGACAAAATGATGAAAAGGGGAAGAATAAATTACATTTTAATGCAAACAAAACATTATATCTGAAAAAGACACTGAATATACCAATTAAACAAATGAAATATATAAGAACATTATTTAATAACATTCCTGCAACCATACAGCAAAATAATCACAACAAAAATAACTTGACATCAATCTTAATTCAGTGAAGTTTATTGTTTTCGCACTAATTCATAGCAAATGTAATCTCAACCAAATCCATTTAATATACAGAAATACATAATCAGTTCAACCACGTCAGATTTAAAATGAAATAAATTCTAATTTGACCAATCAGCTGCGTTCAGATTGGTATTTAATTTGATAAAACTTTTCTATCTAAGGAAACTCAGTAAATTGATCCAGTGATTGACTTTGCAGCAATGATCCACTGAATGATGTCATGATAATGGAGAATTGATCGCATTAAGTCATTAACAATGAACAATAAATTTGTACTGAAACTCTCCAATTATCCATCTAATGTGGTAGCAAACATAAAATCTTTCAACAAGAGAAAATATTTTCAGACAAGATATGTTGCTACAAAAGTTAATAAAATAAGAGAATAACAAAATGCTAAAATTATAAATGATCAATAAAGAAAATAAGGATCTTCAGTAAATTAAGATGAAGTTGTTTATATTTTAACTTTCGTTAAAGAGGTGAGTCCAATGTGTGAATTTGGCCTTTCAAAAAAAGGACAAAAAAATCTCTACATGCAAGAACCAATTGTGTTTACAACTAAACATGAATTATTGTTTCATTTGATGTTGAATGATTCCTTGAGGCTTTTTACTGCCTGTTCTTCTGTGATTTTCTTCCAAAGTATCAGGAATGTCAGCATCATTTGCATTATATACTTCAGCAAATTCTTGTTGTATTTGTTCATCACATATTTCCAATAATCTGACGCCTCAAGGCTCACATCTGGAGGAATATTCCAGTCTGGGTAAATTTGCCTATATTCTTTGTAAGGATGATATTCACCCTTTGTGTCACTGCAGTGAAAAGTTAAGTCACTGGTAACAAGAGAAGAGCAGATATCAGTCATGAGTTTTCTTGAGTCTTCCCACCTGTACTGACCTAATCCATTTGGTCGATGCAAAGAAGCAAAGTGTTGAGTGTGTTTTCTCCACCAGCATCACAGGGTATTTTGCAGAATGGACACTGTTTGCCACAACCAATCACTCTGTTAAAAAACTCATTCTCTGGTTTCATGTGGAGACGTGAGAGTTGTGTTTCAAACGTTATCTTTTCAAACTCTCCTCTAAGAGTTTCTTTCATGTCCTCCACACACTTGTTGAGCCAGTGAGCAAACTGTTCCTGGTCAGATTTGTTCAGAACCATGAAGGCATCAAGAGCATCCTGGGAAATTACCAGTTTATCATCAAGTTCTCTGCAGATCTTGACAACAAATGTCTTCAGACTGTCAGTGTTTTCTGTGTTTGCCTTTTTTATGGCATCATTTATGTGGTCGATGCAGAACTTAAGATGTTTGTCCTCCAACTCATAAACTGTCTCCCCAGAGGAGAAATACTCCTTAATTCTTTTAGATGTCCATGATTTTACATAAGTTTCATATGAACAAATGTAGCTCTTAAAGCTTTCAAAGTCACTTTTAGAAATCAGATCCAGTAAAATGTAATACTGGAAGGACATTCGTGTGCTGAACTCCAGTTTTGCCGTCATTTTGTCAACAATATCAGGACCAAGAGAAGAATAGATGAAGTTTTCAACAGCAGGTTTCAGACTTTGGTTTGTGAATTCTTCAGCTTTTTTCTGGCATTGGTCTCTTTCTTGAAACACATCTTTGAAATCTGTGCAAAACCTTTCTTTGTTTTTCTGCAAACATTTATAAGGATCATTTTCTTGGATAAAATCTTCATGCATTTTCTGAAACTTTCTGGCTGCAGATCCACAGATGTGTTGTTTCAGAGACACTTCAAACTCAATGTCTGTGTCAACATCAGCTTTGTTCAGCTTCTCATCAATGAAGTGAAGAATCTCCTGGATGTAAGTATCATGATAATTGGTTTTTCTCTTGGTTTTATCACTAACATGGTCATCACAAGCTGAAATAATCCTGTCAGCAATTTCTTGTCTTGCCTTTATTAGATCCGTCAAGGTCAAAATTCCTTTAAAAAAAGTTTTGATGTTTTTGATCACTCCTTTAGGTTTGTATGTAAAAGGCTCCAGTCCACAGTTTTTGAGTTTTTTTTCACTCAGCAGTTCACATGCATGGCTTCCTTTGTGTGAAAGATTTGTTTGTAACTGATGGGAAACACTGGTGTAGATATTTATTGTCTGTTGTTCGGAAAAAGACAAACTGTTCAGTGTTTCAGTCCACATCTTATCAAAACTTTCATCAAGCTCTCTGTCAGTCATTTGAACCTTTTTCTTACGACATTCATCAATTAAATCACAAACTGCTTTCTCAATTGTTTCTCTATAAGTGGCCTTGATTTTCTCAAGTTCTTTCAATCCCTTCTTAATATCAGCAGCTGCTGTGATCTGGTTGAACATTGATCTTTCAGTTTCTCGTCTAAGACTCTTGATGCTGTTGGAGAAATCCTCTCTGTATCCTTCAACCAGATAAACATGACCTTCTGGCTGCTCAAAGTATTTCTTCAGGTTTTCAAGGATCTTTGTCTCCCACTTGATCAGCTCTGTGATTGCTTCACTTTTCAACTCAGCGATGAATTCATTCATGTCAGATATTTCAGATGTTGCAGTAAATGAACCAAAATTAGAAATTCTTGTCTCTGCATTGGTAACCCATTTGTACATTTCCTTCTTGAACTCCCACTCCCATTGGTTGTACTCTGTGCAGAGCCTCATGTAAGCATCAGCCACCAGGCTGTTTCTGAAGCTGAAGATGAAGTTTTCATGTTTTACTGCGTTCCACAGGCTGGTTATCCACTCTCTGAACTCCAAGATGTCATTAGAAGTTGAGCCACACTTTCCCAGCTGTTGGATGATGTTTTTCTTGAGTTCATAGACAGTCTCACTGTATCCTGCATTGACTGGAGCCATTGGTGGGTTTCCATTCCAGAGTCCAGGAATGTAGCAGTTCCCAGTGTCTGGATTATACTCCATCACATCAGTGAAGCTCTTGTATTCCTCTTTCTTCTCCATTCTAGCTGCTGCCTGGGTCATCTCATTCAGCTGTTCTAACAGCAGCTTCCTGTCTCTCAGGTTCTTCTCATGGGCTGAAACATCAGAAACGTTCTGGTGAACAAACTGACATTGAGGCTTTTTTCCGCTGGCCTCCTTCATCCTGAGGAAAGCATGCACCACTATCTGCAGGATGTCCTTCATCTCTGTTGAATTCTCCATGGCAATATTGATAATGGTGATGTCACTCAGCCCAACAACAAGTGTTGCCAGCTCATTGTCGTGCTCATGGCTGTTGTCCAGCTGTGCTAGCTCTGGTGACTTTAAGCCTTCAGTGTCGATGATCATCATGAAGTCACAGTTGAGAACTTTCTTCAAGTCTTCATTGACTTTGATGAGCAGCATGAAGGCACCTCTAGTGCATCGACCACTGCTGACTGCAAACTGGACTCCAAACATGGTGTTAAGGAGAGTGGACTTCCTGTGCTCTGAACTCCAAGAACTGTGACGACCCGTATCTTGTTGTTTGGAGACACCAAGTCATTGAGCTGAGAGAGAACATCACTCACCCATCTGAGAGGAATGTTGGAAGCATCTCCATCTACAAGCTCAACAGGAAATCCATCCAACAACAACTGAGCACAGAGTTTGGGCAGATGTTGCAGTTGTTGACGTGATGGATCTGTTTCTGGAAGGTAAAGAGAAGCTTCATAGATCTGACCCATTTCTCGGAAGAAGTGCTCAACTCCCAGTGAGCTGTTGGAAAGTTGTTGGTCAATTTTTTTTATCTCTTCTTTGTTCTCAGAGTCTTTGCATTTTTCCTTGTAAAGCTCCCTGAGGACAGAAAGTTTGATTCGAGACAAGTTGTCGAGGTTCATTCTTAGCCATTTCAGAAAGTAACACCTTTCTCTCTGTTGGCTGGATATTGCAGTAATGAAGCATCTCATTGCTTTGGACATTGTATAAGAGTTTTGTTTTTTACGTTGCGCTTCTTTTTTCTCTTTAAGGTTGCTCTTGTAGTTTTCTATGTCTTCAGAACCAACTTTTCGGAGACGAAATTCTTCCTTTTCCAAGAAAGTCAGTTCCTTCCATATTTGACCTTGTAAAGGAAACTGATTTTCTTTGAATTGAAAAGTATCTTTAATCTCTGCAGTGATGGCATCTGCATTTTTCTTTCCCTCCTGACCCTCTGGAGAATCTTCATCAACAGAAACTCCCAGTTCATGAGCAACATCAGCCATCTGCTCTACTGACATCTTTAACTGTGGGTTGGCAAGTACAGTAATCACAGTTTTCTTCAAAGATTTGACAAAATCTGCATCATTTGTTTGTTTAGTTTTTATGATTATATTGTTTTTTGTCAAGCCCAGACTGGTTGCTACTTTCTTCAAAACATCTGGAGTCAGACTCTTGCTTTGTTGGTTTCCCACTAAGAAGATCTGAGCTTTGTGATTTTTGTTCATCAGCAGTTTGCAGTCAGAGTCCAGCTTGTCAAAGAAAACAAAAACTGCAGCAGATGTCTGACACAAAAAGGAGAATTGAGTTTCAAATGAAGCAATGTCTCCACGAAGGTTAGCTATAGCAACTGGTTCACTGAAGATGTCCATGTTTTTGTTTCCACAGGGAAGGTACCAGGTCAGTTCAGTCAGTCCATTGGATATTCTTCTCTCAATGTCTCCACACTCCATGTCACGGTGAACAAAGGTGTCATGGTATTGCTCAGAGTTACTCAGAAGCTTATTGAGAATCTCTGATTTGGACAGAGAGCACTCACCCAGTCTCACAAATGAGATCATTGGAAGTTCAGAAAGAACTATTCTTTCTTCCATGAAGCCTTTTGATTCTACAAGATCTGAAGGTCTGTACTTCTTAACAATGTCTCTCATGGCCCACAGCATGAGGGTGCACTGCTGTGTATCACAGTTAGGAAGCAGCAGAGGAACAGAGAACTGACACATGGACATTTTTAGAGCCAGTTCTTGATGAACAAACCCATCAGAACACAGGAAGAGAGCAGTGATTATATCAAGAGGATTTAGAGAGTCATTCATGTTATTACAGACAAATAGATCATTAAAATCACAATGATCCCTTAATGTATCATCATTGTTGGACTTGGAATCTGAGGCGCATTTTATCTTTCTAGCTGTTACATTCACTGCCATCAGTTTCTTAAGAAAATACCATGGAAGATCAGATTTACATTGTGAAGACTCATCTTTGGTGGTCTTCTCATTGATCTCCAGTATGTTGCTGAGTGACAGTTTCTCCTGGTAGAACTGGTCCAATCCCAGTTCCTCCAAAAGCGTCTTCAGGTTGGTCCCTGTTCAACATAAAGCAATTTATCATACATGTGTCATTTAAATACAAAATAATTATGTATACCTTTTAATGTTAATGTCAATAGTAAGTCCATCCAAAAGTAGTAATACCCGTTAATCTTTTGTTTTTTTAAACTTTTGTCACAAAACAACCACAAATTTCAAAGTGTTTCACTGAGATTTTGTGGAATGGATCAAAACAAAATAACACGATTTTGAAATCAAACAAAAACGGTTAAATAGGTTTTTAAAAATATTCATAAATAACAATCTGACATCTATGGTGTGATTTTGTATTCAGTTCCCTGAGTCCACTTCCCTGAGGAGTTTGTATTTCTGCGTAATGAAACTGAATGAATCTGTTCAAACGCTTGTTATGTGTTTTCCTCTCTTGCTCTCGGTGAAGACAGATGCTTTTCTCCTCTGATCCCTCCCTGCTCTGTTTGCTCTTTTTTTTCTGACTTTTTTCATAATTTTGGAGCCTTTTTTTGTACATCCTCCAAATTGATCAAATTTTCTCAATGAGATTTCTGGCACAGGAGAGTCTTATCCTGCAGAGACACACCTGGCGGGATACACCCTGGATTTATTCATGATAACAGGATTTCTGCTGTTTGGAGCTTGCAGATATCTGGCTTATCAATGATTTGTGATGGACTTGGCAGAACTAGCGAACACTCAGACTGTTGGTTTGTACAGAGACACATGTTGGATGTGAGTCTTGCTGAGACTCAAAAACTCACTAGGGGGATGAAATCAATCTTTGAGAAGTTTCTAGTTTCGTTTCAGTGGAACGACCAAACTAGCATCAATGCTATGATGGTGGATCTGTGAGTTACGACAAGACTGAGCAGAATGTTAAAACTTCAGACATGGCGGAATGTTTTGGGCATTAAATAACTGATTTAACCAAAACACTGTTACTCATAGGATTATTATAGCCATTTAAAATCAAACAGATAGAGTTATGTCTCCCTCTGTGTGTCTCAATCACAGCTGACAGTTGGTAGAGATGATTAATTACCATAGCAACAGAACACAGAGGAGGGCAGAACTGCTGATTAGGACAACAAACACAACATGTTTGTAGTTCTACAAACACGACATGTTTGTAGTTCTACAAACACGACATGTTTGTAGTTCTAACTATGGCCAACAGAGGGCTGAGCAGAATGTCAGAACTACAAACATGGTGCAACACATGGTCACTATAGAGGAGGACTGTAACTGTAACTGGTTCAACCCAACTACTGTTACACATGGGATTAGTTTGGCCATTTAAATGAAGCTCACTGAAAATTTCCTCTCAGGAATATTGAGGCATTAGCCTGCCTTATCTTTTTCTCTGATTAGGACCTAGGGCAGGTTAGGGCATTGCCTTGCTGCACATGGCACTGCTAATGCACAGCTAATGCATTAGCCTTTGCTCTAAAATAAGCATTTAGATATCTCTTATGCATTACCTATGTTTATTATACTGAATGGAGGAAGTGAATGTAAGTCAACATGCTAGTGATACCCCACATGCTACTCACAGCACTCATGCTAACATTAGCATTGATGCTAATTTTAGCCTATGCATTAAATTTAACATACTGAATGGTTCAAGTCCATATTAGTCAACATGGTTGTGATTCTCCACATGCTTCGTTGTAATGTTTTAGCAAAGCTTAGCATTGATGCTAATTTTTAGCATCAGAGCACTGGGTCCAAACCAATGGGCACACTTTGGCAGGCCACGGTTAAATTTCTTCAGGATGTTTTTATTTTTTATTATTCCTTAGAAATTGTGGAGTATTCATTGCTTTTCCAAATGTAGAGCATACTTAGAAAGTCCAAAAAATACTTACACTTATATAACAACCCAGAGCAGAGGTTGCTAAATAACCCCTGTTAAGATAGCAACTAAGTTGGTAAAGTAGTAGAATAAAGAAAAACTACCTCAGCAACCACTTTTTAGTCTCTCATTCTTCTAAACCAGAAAAGGAGTTAGACAAAAAAAAAAACATACAGCTCATGAAAACCCAAAATTCCTACCTCACAAAATTAGCATATCATGAAAAGGATCTGTAAACGAGCCTAATCATCTGAATCAACAAATTAACTTAAAACACCTGCAAAAGATTCCTGAGGCCTTTAAAACTCCCAGCCTGGTTCATCACTCAAAACTCCAATCAAGGGTAAGACTGCCGACCTGACTGCTGTCCAGAAGGCCATTATTGACACCCTCAAGCAAGAGGGAAAGACACAGAAAGAAATTTCTGAACGAATAGGCTGTTCCCAGAGGGCTGTATCAAGGCATCTCTGTGGGAAGAAAAAAGTGTGGCAGAAAACACTGCACAACGAGAACAGGTGACCGGACCCTGAGTAAGATTGTGGAAAAGGGCCGATTCCAGACCTTGGGGTCCTGCAAAAGCAGTGGACTGAGTCTGGAGAAGAAACATCCAGAGCCACCGTGCACAGGCGTGTGCAGGAAATGGGCTACAGGTGCCGCATTCCCCAGGTCAAGCCACCTTTGAACCAGAAACAGCAGCAGAAGCGCCTGACCTGGGCTTCAGAGAAGCAGCACTGGACTGTTGCTCAGTGGTCCAACATGCTTTTTTCAGATGAAAGCAAATTTTGCATGTCATTCGGAAATCAAGGTGCCAGAGTCTGGAGGAAGACTGAAGGAATTGCCAAAATGCCAGAAGTCCAGTGTCAAGTACCCACAGTCAGTGATGGTCTGGGATGCCATGTCAGCTGCTGTAGTTGGTCCACCGTGTTTTATCAAGGGCAGGGTCAATATAGGAGATTTTGGAGCACTTCATGCTACCATTTGCTGAAAACCTTTATGGAGATGAAGATTTCATTTTTCAGCATGACCTGGCTCCTGCTCACAGTCCCAAAACCACTGGTAAATGGTTTACTGACCACGGCATCACTGTGCTCAGTTGGCCTGCCAACTCTCCTGACCTGAACCCCAAAGAGAATCTGCGGGATATTGTGAAGAGAAAGTTGAGAGACGCAAGACCCAACATTCTGGAAAAGCTACAGGCCGCTATCTAAGCATCCTGGGCCTCCATAACACCTCAGCAGAGCCACAGGCTGAGAGCCTCCATGCCACGCCGCATTGAAGCAGTCATTTCTGCAAAAGGATTCCCGACCAAGTATTGAGTGTATAACTGTCCGTAGTTATTTGTAGGTTGACAATTTTTGTATTAAAAACACTTTTCTTTTATTGGTCAGATGAAATATGCTAATTTTATGAGATAGACATTTTGGTTGGGTTTTCATGAGTTGTTTGCCACAATCATCCATATTAAGACAATAAAGGACCTGAAATATTTCAGTTAGTGTGCAATGAATCTAAAATATATGAATGTTAAATTTTTATCATTACATTATTAAAAATAATGTAATAAGTACAATGAATAAACTAAACTGAACTATATTGTGTATAAATCCAAAGCAGTGAGTCTCTACTGAAGGCAAGAGACAAACAGGGTCTTTTTAAAACTATAGTTGTTTAAAAGAGAATAGGAGAGATAGTTGCTTATTATGGAGTATAATATTACATCATCTAATTTGTCACAGACTTACTAAATAAACACTAATAATACTTTACAACATCCACAGCAAATTAAACAGCTGCTATGGAGCTGCTTAACATGCAGAATGCTTTAAAGATCAAAATAGTTTATAGAGGTAACTACATCATTTTTCTATATTAGCTCCTCTGAGAGATCTGGATCTGTAATGTTGGGACTGGAGATAAACTATATTGAACAGATCTCTTCTTTCTCAACAAGATCTTGAGAAGGACCTGTAAACTTTTGCATATCTTGTCAAATCACCTCCATAAACATCAGTGGATCTTTGGTTCTGTGCAATTGTCAAATTTCAGCTATGAAAAGCTTGAAGAAACACATCCCACAATGTGGTTCTACAAAGTGTTGACTCAGTTACTGCTACATATGTGACAGTAAAAACAGGAATGTGAAAAGCAATAATATTATCTGAATAAACTGCGAGCACATATCACTTTCATTCTCAATTTATTCTACTGACCTTTATCATCTGTACCAGCTTTTGGATCATCAATATCAGACCCAGCAGATGTTGATGCAGGTTCCTCTCCTCTCTCACCATCAGGAGCCTCAGATTTATTTTCAGTGCTGCTTCCCTTTAGATAAATAACAAAACATAAATAATTTAAGCATCACACAGAGATCAATTGATGGTTCATTTATTTTTATTATATTTTGGATGTTTGCAATGTTCTACCTCCATTGTGTGAGTGGAAACTTTATCATCACTGTTGTGTTGAATATTTCTGCAGCTTGTCTCTGAATGAAAAAATAGAAAATGATTTTATTTGCATCTGTAAACTCCTGATTGTCACCTACAGAACAACGTTCATGAACACATAGCCGGTCACTAAATATCTTTAAAAGACTTTTACCACTTATATTAAATATTTGAAATGGAAAAAAACAAAACAAACTATAGATAATTTTTTGTGACAGTCATGAAATGGATGTTTGTTGGTGGTGGGGATGGATGCGGTCAGAACCAGGGTTGGTACAAAGTGAGTTTAATGACAAAAACCAGGAAGTAGTGATGGACCATCTGAAGCCAGGCTTTGAGGTGAGTACCGGGTAAAAAGTCGGCGTGTCAGATGAAGACCCGCTTCGATGCTTGTGTCGTCTTGCTGAAAACCAAGTGACTGGCATCAAATTCTTTGGTAATTTTTCATTAAATTGTGAACTTTTAATAGAATATTTAGAAATTCAGACTGTTGTTGGAAACTGTGACTATTTAGATGTTCTGAATGAAAAACCAATACATATACAAAAATCTGACAGTTCAAATTATTCCTCTATCTCCTTGTGACATCTTGGAAATGCACTGAAATTATATAAGTTGCAAATTAATATTTTTTCTGAAAAGACTATGGACATGTACGTTGTTGTTGGTGCTCCTCTGTTAATGAAAGGGAAACCCACAATGGTCACAGAAATAACTTGAGTCTCACAAAGGTAATGAATAATTATTGTATGAAAATGAACAAATGAAAGTCAGACAAAGAAATACACTCATAAAACAGGCCTGGACAAAAATGTTGGCACCCTGAAAGTAATGTGACCAAAGGGACATCTTCACAAAATAAGAACTACATCATTTTTCTATATTAGCTCCTCTGATAGATCTAGAACTGTAATGTTGGGACTGGAGATAAATTATATTCAACAGATCTCTTCTTTCTCAACAACATCTTGAGAAGGACCTGTAAACTTTTACATATCTTGTCAAATCATCTCCATAAACATCAGTGGATCTTTGGTTCTGTGCAATTGTCAAATTTCAGCTATGAAAAGCTTGAAGAAACACATCCCACAATGTGGTTCTACAAAGTGTTGACTCAGTTACTGCTACATATGTGACAGTAAAAACAGGATTGTGAAAAGCAATAATATTATCTGAATAAACTGCGAGCACATATCACTTTCATTTTCAATTTTATTCTACTGACCTTTATCATCTGTACCAGCTTTTTGTTCATCAATATCAGACCCAGCAGATGTTGATGCAGGTTCCTCTCCTCTCTCACCATCAGGAGCCTCAGATTTATCTTCAGTGCTGCTTCCCTTAAGATAAATAACAAAACATAAATAATTTAAGTATCACACAGAGATCAATTCATGGTTCATTTATATTATATTTTTGATGTTTGCAATGTTCTACCTCCATTCTGAGAGTGGAAACTTTATCATCACTGTTGTGTTGAATATTGATGCATCTTGTCTCTAAATGGGAAAAAAACAGTAGTCACTCTGCTGTTTGGTTACATGGTGTGTAACACTCTCACCAGGGCCAGAGGAAGCACGTTGAGGAGGTTAGAAAGAAAATTATCAACAAGCATGTTAAAGGTTATAGTACCATCTCCAAGTAGCTTAATGTTACTTAAGATCCATTGCACTGTAGCCAACCTCCATGGCTGCAGGAGGAAAATTGATGACAAAACAAAAGGCTCTTTTTTTTCTTCTGTAACAAAATAGCCCAGAAAAAATTCTTGAAAGATTAAAGATGAAGTTCAGCCTCAAGGAACATCAGTGTCAAATCTCACCATTCAATGTCGTTTTAGCCAAAGTGGATTTAATGGGAGATGACTAAGGAGAACACTATTGTTGAAAACAAATCATAAAAAAGCCAGACTAGAATTTGTCAAATATGTTGACAGTCACAAGGCTTTTGGGAGAATGTCCTATGGACAGATGAGACAAAAACTGAACTTTTTGGCAAGGCACATAAGCTCTATGTTGGCAGACCAAAAAATGAAACATATCAAAGAAAAGAACATTGTCCCTACTGGGATTATCTATGCTTCATCTGACACAGGACATCCTAAATATGTACAGATTACAATGAAATCTCAATACTATCAATGGATTCTAGAGAGAAATGTGCTGCTCAGTGTCTTGGTTCTCAGTTGCAGATTATGGGTCTTACAAAAGAATAATGACCCAAAACACCAAAGAAATGCTAAGAGGAAAACATTGGAGTATTTTGAAGTGGTTTTCTATGAGCCCTGACCTAAATCTTATTGAGCATCTTTGTAAGGAACTGAAGCATGTTGTCTGGAAAAGGTACTTTCAAACCTGAGACATCTGGACTCATGAGGACTGGACAAAAATACAGTGCCTTGAGAAAGTTTTCGGCCATCTTGAACTTTTAAACCATTTGTCACTTTTCAGGCTTCAAACATAAAGATCTAAAAAATTTTATTTTGTTAAGAATCAACAACAAGTGGGACACAATTGTGATGTGGAACAAAATTTATTGGATATTTCAAACTTCTTTTTAACAAATGAAAAACTGCAAAGTGGGGCATGCAATATGATTCGAACCCTTTACTTTCAGTGCAGCAATTTCACTCCAGAAGTTCAGTACGGATCTCGGAATGATCCAGTGTTGCCCTAAATGACTGATGAGGATAAGTAGAATCCACCTGTGTGTAATCGAGTCCCCGTATAAATGCATAGAATTTATGCATTTAAATAAAACCCTGAGCCATTTCTCAGGGTTTTATTTAATGCTCAGAGAGCATCATTCTGGCCACGGTGCAAACCAGGCAGTTCTGAGATCTGCCTGGTTTTATCTCAAACCAGGAGAAAATTGATCAGAGATGCAGCCAAGAGGCTCATGATCACTCTGGATGAACTACGAAGATCTGTGGCTCAGGTGGGAAAGTCTGTCCATAGGACATCAGTCAGATGTACGCTGTACAAATCTGGCCTGTATTTAAAGAAAGCCATTTCTCAACCATATCCATAAAAAGTTTGTCACAAGCTACCTGGGAGACACCCTGGACAGGCGATCAGTTTGTCGCATGGCAACAGACATGCACACACACACCCACACACACCCACACACACACACACACACACACCTACGGAGAATTTAGAGAGACCAATTAACTTAACAGTCATGATTTTGGACTGTGGGATGAACCCGGAGTCCCCGGAGAGAACCCGCCCTACACAGAGAGAACATGCAAACTCCATGCAGAAAGATCAGGAATTGAACCCAGGACCTTCTTGCTGAAACTGTGCCATTGTGCAGCCTTTTTTTCCACCTCACGATTGTGTTCCACTTGTTGATTCTTCACAAAATGATAAAAAATTTTGATCTTTATGTTTCAAGCCTGACAAGCAGCAAAAGGTTGAAAAGTTCAAGGGGGCCGAATACCTGCTGAGAGGTGCAGAAGTAAAATTTATCTTTATAGGAATCGTTTTATGCAGTGATTGCCTCAAAACGTTGTAGAGTACCATCATTTTGTCCAGGCCTGTTTCATGAGTTTGTTTTTTAAATAATTAATTCTGTTGAGCACTCTTGAGTTTATTCAGGCTTTCTTCATTTAAAAAAACTACAATCCTTGATTTCAAATTTTTCAGTTGTGGATTCAAATTAAAAAATTATATGAAATCCATAGCCGATCCTAAAAATCCCCAAATATTCTCTGATCACTGTGTCTACATCTGAAATAACAAATATAAACACGTACAAAATTATTGGTACTTCTTTGTTCATATAAAAAATAACAAACACAATGGTGACAGAAATAACTTGAATCTGACAAAAGAAATGATGAATAAAAATTCTATGAAAACGGACAAATGACAGTCAGACTTTGCTTTTCAAAGATGCTTGCACTCTGATTTCATTTTCATTTTATTTTACTGACCTTCACCCTCTGTGCCCCCCTTTGGTTTGTCATCAGACTCAGCAAATGTTGATGAAGTTTCTTCTCTTGTCTTTCCATCAAGAGTCTCAGATTTATCTCCAGTGCTGGTTCCCTTATGATAAATAATAAAAATATATAGCTTAAGTCTCACATGTACATAGATAGATTGATGACTCAATTATTGTCATTATATTTTAGACATTACAGTGTTCCTCTACCTTCTTTGTGGGAGTGGACTCTTTATTATCACACTCAGACTGATTGTTTGTCTCTGAAAGAAAAATAAGAAAAATGTTTTGGCTTTTATTTGTGTCTGCAAACCAAGACTCATGGTCCCAACGCCAGTTGTTGGATATCACAAAGATTTAATAGAGGAAATCTGAGAACTGCAGAGGGAGAGAGTGTTAGCCTCTCTGAAGTGGAGAGGTGATCACCTCTCACAATAACAATGTTTAATTATTCATAAATATAAATCTGAAAAATTCTCCATTTACTGACATTAAGCCTCTCAAGTCAGTGTTTTCAGCAGGCATCTTTTGCTGCAGAAATATTTTAGGGTAAGCCTCCACCAGTTTTGCCTAAAATGCAGAAATTATTGTATCTTTCCTAATTTATTACTTCCAGTTTCCTCAGCATTTATAATTTCACTCTTTCAGCTAATATTAATTTTAAAAGCTTCTGTAAATCAAAGTTTATTTGCTTCCATTTTAATGTTTGTTTGTATAGAGTTCATTTTAAATATGTTGTACTCTTCTTTGACTTTTGTCGACTGTATTCACAAATATGTGCAGGTGTTGCAGGAGGCTTACCTGGTTTATCTGTTGGGCTTTCCTCTGGATTCTGACGGGTTCCCTCCTGGGGTTTACGTGAGAAGACTTGGCCTATCAGTAGTAGTGCAATGTATAATATACAGATATAGATCAGAGTCAGGAAGTCCATTTTACCATCAGGTGTTGAGTTGATAGGCAGGCTAACTGTAGATTTTGTGCTCTGCTGTCTCCATATGAATGGATCAAGCTGTGTGAAAGAAACAAAAACAAACTTGGCATTAATAACTTCCCTAATATTTGAATGTTGTTTTTGTTTTTTGTAGGTATGACTGTCTGTAGAAAACCTACTAATCTTTATTAAAATGCTTGCCCTTTTATTAAAAAAAAAAGCCCGGATCCTCTTTTCCGGGATCCGTATTGGGTCTAGAAAGCGACTTTCTAGACCCAATAAACCTCACATTTAAGGTGTGTCGTCTCCACCTTGCTGGTCATCTTCAAAGCTAAGAGGGCAGAGGTCACTGCAAACTTTAAAACATGTTAATGTCTCTCTGGCTTCTGATGTCTCTAAAATATTCTGAAACCCTTTAAGACGTCTTGGTGTATTATCTCTGCAGGTAAATTTAAAGCTGCAGTAACTTTTATAAAAATGAATTTATTACATATTTGTTAAAACTGTCAAACAAAAGACAGATCATCTCTGAAAACATCAAAGTCCTCTGGCTCCCTCCAGTGGTTCTACTGCAGAAATGCACAGCCAGAAACTACCAAACAAATCCAGGAAGATTTTCGCACTGTCAATCTAGCTTGTGCATACGCTGCTCACACCCTTCCCTTGCACAGTACATACTAAAGCTCAAGAATATTGTGTGATGCAGTCGTGCTAATGGTGGAGAAACAATGTAACATTGCAGAAAAAATTCCCAAGTTCAACGGTAGTCTCTCTGCCAAAATGGGAGACTTGACAGGTAAGCCGATCACTAAAACCAATCACTTATATGTTACTTCACAGCCAGCCAGTGCAGTTGATCTCCTCTTTCCTTTACACTGCACAGCACCAAATCCTAAACAATGTGATGAGGAACTTCAACACTCGGAGTGAATGGAGAAGTGTGTGTGTGGAGACGAAGAAATAACTCGAGGCTGAAGCGCGTCAAAATGCATTAACACACCAAATCTGTTATGATATTTAAAAAACAAACATTAAGCTACAATGTGGCTTGATGCAGGAAAAAAAGGCATCATGAGCAGCCAGGCAGCAGGTACAACGGTGCACAACTACCAACATTCACCTGGAAGAGCATGATGGTCAGAAAGCTTAGCAAGTAACCCAAAAAATAATTTAAGTCAACAAGTTAGGGTTGGTGGTAATATTTCACAGACATAGCACCAGTTAACCTCCAGCAATGAACTCTCACACTGAACATCTGCTTGACGCTGCAGCATGGAACTTAAACAATAAAGATTTGACATAAACTTTATGCCCTAACATAAAACAGATAATCTCTGAAATAAAAATAATTAAAAAACAAGATCTCCTTTGCCTCCTTCTGGCAATTTGCAGAATTACTCAGCAAGGTCAGAAACAACCAATCAGAACCAGCATTAATCAGCTAGCCATGATCTCAGGAAGTTTTGATTTGGTAATTTTGGATTGTTTATTTCGATGCAACCTGCATTCAAATTTGACAGTATTTGATATAGGCAGTGTTTTGAGATTTATTTGACTCATGCATAACTTAGGGTACAGTGAATATTACTGTCAAATATTAACTGACTGCAGATTTTTCAGTTCTCCTTTTGATTGAGTTCCTGCTGTATTTTGCCTGCAAGTATTTTGCATGTTTTGTTTAAATTTGGACAATTTTCCCATTTTGCCTGATCACATATAGTGCCTTACAAAAGTATTTGCCCCCCTTGAACTTTTCAACCTTTTGTCACTTCAGGAGAGCAAAATTATTCAAACCCTTTACTTTCAGTGGAACAAATTCACTCCAGACGTTTGAGGATCTCTGAATGATCCAATGTTGTACTAAATGATTTATGATGATAAATAGAATCCACCTGTGTAATCAACCTAAAGTGAAAAATTAACATCCAATACAGGTGATCGGCATTGATCAGTGATCGGGCCTCACAGGTGATTATAAAGGTTTTATTGACATAATCAAAACACTTACCTTGAAAGAAGCTCTGTAGTGAAGCGATTCTGTGGAGGAGCAGTTCTGTCTGAGAGCTGATCAGCAGCCGACTCTTTTTATATCCTTGATTTTATTTTCACTTTTGGATTTAAGTGAAACCACTTGATCTAATCTGTTTACAATTAAGGATATGATCATCATACCACAGGGGTGAAGCTGAGTTATTTACCACTTCCTTGTTCTGTGTTCAGTTCATTTCTGTATCTCATTGAGTCTGGGGTAAATCCCCAACACAATCAATGGTATGTTCTTCCTTCTTAACAGGTTTCCTAACTAAATAATGCAGGCTTCCTCATTGAAACTATTCTACTAATTTGTAACTCTGGTTTCCATTACTTGGCAGACCGATACTTTTGCCTGAGGTGTGTAATTCAAAGCAGGAAACCCGCATCAATTCAATACCATCAGCATCAGCTTTTGTTTTTTGTTTTCTGATTCACTCTGCCTGACTCTATGATTGAGGTATCGCATAATTAAAACAGGTAAATTTGATTAATTCACAGCAGAGCTCTGTTTGTACATGATTATTAAAATATAATTTGTCCAATTCAAACCATTAAAACTATTATTTTATTGTTTTTGAACCCCAACAGTCTGACACATTTTGAGATTCTTTTATTAGTAGAATAATTATTATTACTGTAATAATATTCATCATCTCTGGCCGTCTGTGCAACAACTCCACTCTCTAAATCTTTGTAATACTCCTTTAACTTCTCCATGTCTGACTCCAATTAGTTTTCACCTTTTGACTTTTATTCTCTGGCTTAATAAAACTCAAAATATTCACACTGACATTATTTACTTAACAATACAATCACCCCCATGTTGACAATTTGTCTTTGCTGATAAACTCTACTCTTGAGATCATGAAAAGGTCAAAGGTGTTTCTGTCTTCCTCCTTGATGTGCAGCCATAGATTCACAAACAGTAGGCTGCACTTCACTTTGGATCCAATATTGTTTTTTGAAGATGCGGTTTTTACTCAACAATGAAGATCAAAGTGTTCTTGTGTCTCCTCATTTCTTACTTCACTGCATAAGAGGAAACATTCTGATCTATGAGTGAGTTTATCTACATCACTTTGACGCCCAGCTTTGTTGATTTTCCTCATTCCAAGATGCTCATCATGCCACTGAGATCAAACTGTGCATTCAGAGTTATTTTCCAGTTCCTTGTTCTGTTTGCAATTCATTCATTTTTCTTTTAAATCCCCAAAACAATCAATGGTATCTTCTTCCTTATTAACAGATGTCTTGACTGCAGAATGGAATCTTGATAGTTTACTTCCTCATTGACATTTTTCTACTAATTTGTAACTCTGCGTTCAAGTACTTCACTTTTGGTTTTTGTTGGTGGGTAACTATAACTGACTATATCATCAAGGTCATTTTTAACTGGAACAGGCAAACTTGCTTAATTTACAGAAGAGCTTTGTTTGTATACTGCTGATAAAATGGCAGCAGTCACATTATTATTAAAATATACTTTGTCCAATTTATACTAGCTACATTACAACCATTATTTTTGGTGTTTTTTTTAACTCATTCCAATATATCAGCTTTGTTTAAGTCCCCAAGATTAAAATCTTATTTGTAGATTAGCAATAAATCAAAACTTCGAAATGTGCCATCTGTTAAATGTGATTCATCTGTGACTTGTTGGAAGGATGAAGACAAATATCCCAAATATACATGATCTAAACAGTGGATTGTTTTACTGATAAACTACAGTTCTTGAGACGTCCATAATATTCATCATCTCTGGCCGTCTGTGCAACAACTCCACTCTCTAAATCTTTGTAATACTCCTTTAACTTCTCCATGTCTGACTCCAATTAGTTTTCACCTTTTAACTTTTATTCTCTGGCTTAATAAAACTCAACATATTCACACTGACATTATTTACTTAACAATACAATCACCCCCATGTTGACAATTTGTCTTTGCTGATAAACTCTACTCTTGAGATCATGAAAAGGTCAAAGGTGTTTCTGTCTTCCTCCTTGATGTGCAGCCACAGAGTTCAGCAGCATTTATGGTCCACTGGACTGAATGCCATGAAATGTTTCCACCGGCATGGATTCATTGTCTTCAACATGGACTTAAGTTCTTTTTCACATTTACATCATGAAGTTTTCCTCTCCATGTGTCACTTCTAACTTCCTAATACATTCTTAAAAGTGCATAACAGTTTGTATATTTTTAAAATGTTTTGTACTTAGTAGTTTTTACTCATTATCTTTGGCCATCATGAAATAAGATGAAATACCCCACTCTCTAAGACTTTTATGATGCTGCTGTAACACCTTCAGCTCAGACTTCAATTGATTTTAAGGCACGAAAAGTTTGGAGTTTGTCATTTATTCACAAATTCTCAAATCTAAAATGATGAGAACAAACAAAGAAAATGTTTGGATCTGTGCAAACACAATTTTATACATTGCTAACAAAATTAAAGAGAACACTAAAATAACATCCTAGAACTCAATTAATTAAATATTCTAATTGAAAATCTTTATTATTAAATAAAATTGAATGAGAAGAAAATAACAAAAATGAGCAATGTGAATAAATGTAGCACAGGAAATACTGGGGTTCTTAATGTGCAGCATATTTTATTTTCAGTTGAGACAGATTAAACAAAGCTGTCTTGTTTCTTACTATTGTTAAAAAATCAGAACATATGTGTACCAAACTTTGGGTAACTACTGTTGAATGTGGCAATCTCTAAAATAACAGAGAAAATGCACAAAAAAAGAAATATATTTAATACAAGAAAAGAAATACAGCAGTGGCCTCTGGAAGCACAAACAAAATACAGAGTTGCATTACAATACACTGATTTAGACCACATGAAATTGTGATATAACTTATTTTATCAACACTTAGAATAGAATAGCATTCATTGAACAGGATTCAACGAAATTTCTATTGCAACTCCCGTGCAAAAGTCTCAGTTCACTCTTCATACTGGAGCACATCGATGATCAGACATCTTATCGTCACGTTCAGGAAATGGCCGCCCTGCACGACACATACAGATTCCCTGAACCATCCGTTTCAGAAATGCACCATCTTATTAAGATACTGACTGCTTATCACATACATGAGAATGTACCAACATGTTTCAACAACTGATGGTTTTATTTTCCTATTTTCTGCCAAATCTCTCCCCTGCAGATAATACACGTACAATTCACATCCAAGTTCAACATGCAGCAAAGCAACACAGGAAGAAAACAAGATGCATTTCCTGCCCATCTTGGGAAACAGTAATCACCTTGAAATAATGCACCAAAATGTGCAGCACCAAGACCAACTACCTGCACATATTTAAATGTGAAAAACAAATAAAATTACATAACTGAACCAAAATAATTCAACAGCATTACTGCTGTGTATAAAAGAAAACCAACATTTTAAAATGGAATAAAGATTTTCCATTTTGTAAATCTGGATTGGATTCATGCTCACTATGAAAGTTTAAAACATGACTGATTGAATCAGTTAATATTCCTTAGGTTTAGTCTGAATGAGGCTCAGTAGTGTGTGTGTGGCCTCCATGTGTCTGTGGCCTCCAGACAACATCTGGCCATGTTCCTGATGAAACCGCTGATGTTCTCCTGAAGGATCTTTACCTGGTCCTGGATTAGAGCAGCAGTTAGTTCCTGAACAGTCTGTGGTGTGATGTGGTGTTGGAGGATTGACCAGCAACTGGTCTTACTTTTGAGCCAGTATGAACACTGGATTCACAAACAGTAGGCTGCACTTCACTTTGGATCCAATATTGTTTTTTGAAGATGCGTTTTTACTCAACAATAAAGATCAAAGTGTTCTTGTGTCTCCTCATTTCTTTGTTGATTTTCCTCATTCCAAGATGCTCATCATGCCACTGAGATCAAACTGTGCATTCAGTTATTTTCCAGTTCCTTGTTCTGTTTGCAATTCATTCATTTTCCTTTTAAATCCCCAAAACAATCAATGGTATCTTCTTCCTTATTAACAGATGTCTTGACTGCAGAATGGAATCTTGATAGTTTACTTCCTCATTGACATTTTTCTACTAATTTGTAACTCTGCGTTCAAGTACTTCACTTGACCATGGTGATCCAGGTTAATTATTTATTTTTAAAAAATATATATATCCCTGGCATTTTGACAATTTATGTTTACTGACAAGCTCTATTGTTGAGATTTATAAAAGGTCAAAGGTCTTTTTGTCTTCCACCTTTATGTGCAACCACAGTCCAGCGGTATTTATGGTCCACTGCTGATTTAGATTTTAATAACATACATTTCCACTGTCATCCACTGTCACAACTTCTCCACAGATTCAGAAATTGTTCAGCTTTGTTGTATTGAGCATTGACCAAAAACTGACCAAGTGTGCAGCATATTTTACCACACTACTGATCTTAAGTGTGCTGCAGAAAAACAATGTTAATTTTAATAACATTGTTTTCAGTCTGACAAAAACTATTAGTATCTGGAAATTTAGTGAAATCCAAGTTAATCCAAAACATCAAAACATATAACATATGCCATAATGAAATTGTTCAAGTGAAAACTGCAGACGTTTCAACAAAAAATGAAAAAAGATCGAAGGTGACTTACATGATGTATTTTCTATACAAGAAGTCCTATTTTACTACTTACTTTAGAAAATGGTTTTTCAACTAAAGGAGGAGCTCTGCATTTGTTTTTTATTTATTTGAGTAAAAACCAGAGATCAGCTGCTACAAAAGTCAGTGTACTTTATTAATACAAAAATATAAGAAGACATTTACAACAATTAGCATAACAATGAATTGATGCAACAGAGGTCTACAGCAGCATCAGAGCCAGAGACCTTAAAAAGCTCAAAACCCTGATAAAGAAATCTGGTTCTGTTCTGGAGACGACGATGGAACCTCCGGAGATGATCATGCAAAGAAGGAGTCAGGAATTGTGTAGTTGTGGTGGTGAAGAAAGATGCTGTAGACCCAAATTGTAGTGTGAAATTATGATTTTAATGATAAAATACACAAAATCCAGGAAGCCTGGGTAAGCAGGGAACAGAGACGTGGGTAAATACA